TTAAGAGGATACAGTTTTTTCACTAAACGCAGCTGATATTAATGGATATAAAATAAAAGAATTGGATTTAAATTTTAAATCAAAATGTATCACTGCGCAAAGAGTTTCATCAGTTACCAGTATCAACGTTTCGGCACATCTTACAGGCCTTGTAGAAGGTGGATAAATTGACTGGCTTCGGGAATTCTTTCTATCGTTTGCCACTGTTTTTATGTTTTGAGCCAGTAGGCAAAATTTTGGTCCTTGCTGCCGCTTAAGCTGTTTCTTAGCAGCACTGCCGAAAATCTCACCTAATTCGCCCAGAGTTAGTATCCGTTGCCACGGTTGATATTTTCGTAGGGCTAGATGATTTATGCTTCCTTCACGCACCTTTTCGGTCACTGTCCATCTCTAATGATGCAGGTACAGTCTGACATCGGGGACGGGTATTTATACTCTGTCGCGTGCAGCACAATCATTTTCCGGCTTATTCCTTGAATTTACTCTGGATGAGGCTTTGTTTTCTTAACGACTGCTTCGATAACGCTCTTTCGCGGTCATCCATCTTCTCTAGTTTTACATGCAGGTTTTTGTCTTCTTGGTGACGGTGTTCCTGTTTGTCCTGTGTAACATTTCCCGTAGTTGCGTGTTAGCTAGCCTAGCGAATTTTTATTCTTGAAGGTAACGAAATATTAGGTTTATTAGAACTTTTATGTACCACTTTATATTTATTGTTAAGTAGTCTTTGCAAGTTTTCACCAAGGCTAATGGAGAATTAAATACGGCATTGTTTTATATTCTCATACAGAAGATATTTACCAACAACCAGGGGCTAAATGTAACTACTTAGCTGCGGCCTGCTAAAAATTTGTGATATCCATTATTTATGCGCTATTTTGTATGTATCATGAACAGCGTCTTTCTGGCAATTTTTCACTAGCTTTTCTGTGAACATCAGGTAGTTCAAGTTCATCTTCATTGATTTTCGAACGAAGGGATTTGCAAGAATGACAAAAGATATTGTTCGTACAGTCTTTAGCTGATATACATGAATCAGATCGATAACCAGATTTTGATTTATTTTTGTTTTCTCCACCCATTAATTTTACACGTTTTGGCCCAATGGAGCAGCAACATCAATTATTTTAGCTGCCCTGTTTTTGCGTTTCAGGATTTTTATATGTGGACTACTTTGATCAACGGTGCGATTAGTGGCTCTAAAGTGATCGACAAAGATGGTACCTGGCGCATTTTTAAGCAGCACAGTCACTGTGTGGTATCGATAATACGGCATTGTTTCTGAGATACGGCTATTTTGAGTGCTAGTTGTTGGTTTATAATCTTTGCAACGCTAATTTGGCGTTTGAGTACTCGATATTTCACGCAACAAAACAACATATGACGATACGTATGATCGATAACTTTGTACTGCCGCAAAACCTGCGTTTACTTGAGATGTTTTTGTTAACAATGAGTTTCCCATGGTTTTTCGTAACTTACACTTGATTTCGTATTGCCACTGCAAATCCTTCTGTTTCCATGAACGATCCTACCTCTCGAAGCCAAGAAGGCGACTTTTCTACTTCATACATGAGGCTAGCGTAGCAGTGTTCAAGAAGTGCTTCCTTTCTCAGCTTTTTTTCTTACTCCATTCATCAAGTCTGCATATCACACTTTCCTTCTCTACCATATGACCGCTTTCATGCAGCTTTGGTGTCGTATATCTTTTGTATTCTT